AGTTTTTGAGGTTTCACTAACTAAATTTCTTTAAAAAATTATCCTTTGACATATAAGCAGTACAAAGAAAATGCTAAATTGTACATGGATTCAGAAAGTCCAAAGGTTCAATACAATTCCATTAACTAAAATGGAAGTGTGCAGGCCTTTGAAAAGTTGAACAATTTAATTACTCTTTTCCTCTGTTAATTATTAATTTCTGTGTCAGGTAATATATACTAAATTTCCTAAAAATTTAGTACACACACATTTCTCATGATTCTACAGGTCACCTGGGTGATTTTGGGATGGGCTGACTTGGCTGGTTCTGGATGGCCCAGGATGGTCATGTGCTCATGTCTGGTGGTGGTTATGCTAGCTGGTCTGTGGGGAGGGCTCAGCTGAGTTGGGGCTCTGCTCCTCAAAAAGGTAAGCTAGGCTTCTTCACATAGTCTCAGAGTTCCAAAGAGCAACAAAATTGGGAGAACCCAATGCGCATCGACTTTTCAGGTCTTTGCTTGTAGCAGAAGGTGAAAAGTAAGTTATCTGACCAAGTCCAGAGTCAGTATGAGAGGGGATTGCTTATAGGCACACACACATGGAGGAGGGGCATTATTACAGCACTTTGTAAACAATCTACCATAATTCACCATCACTCTTCTTTTCTTAATATTTAAAGAAAAGAGTTGACACTTTTTCTGTAAAGGGCTATATTATAAATATTTTAGGCTTTGTGGGCATATGGTCTGTGCTGTAACTACTCAATTCTGCATTTTAGTGTGAATGTAGTCACAGACAATAGGTAAATGAGTGGGTATGACTGTATTCCAATAAAACTTTACTTACAAAAAAAGGTGGTAGGCTGAATTTCTCTCATACATGGCAGTTTGCAGATCTCTGATGAAAAGTTACAAATTTCCCTCTAAGGATGCCTTAGCTGTATTGTCACATACTCTTTCATTCAGTTCAGAATATTTTCTAAGTTCCACTGTGACTTTTTCTTTGATCCATGGGTTATTTAGAAGTATGCTGCCAAATTTCCAAACATTTGAGGATTTACCTAGTCATCTTTCCATTACTGATTTCTAGTTTAATTCCTCTTTAGTCAGGAAATATACCCTTGTATACTTTTAATCCTTTGAAAATTTAAGAGTTGCTTTTTGACTTACCATAAGGCCTATTATAAGGTAAATGTTCCATATATGTCTAAAAAATATGTATTCTGCAGAGGTTGAGTACAGTGGTTGGTGTCAATTAGGTCACGTTTGTCCCCAATGTTCAAATGTTCAATATCCTTATGGATCTTTTTGGTCCGTTTCTCTGAAGTATGAAAGAATCTTATAGTTTACCTCTGTTTACTTCCTTCCTTTGTGCTATCATGTATTTTAGTTCTATATATGTTGTATATAACCAATACTATAGTATTGTTGCTTTAAACAGTCAATGTTCTTTTATATTTATCTACACATTTAAGCTTTCCCTTGCTCTTCATTTCTTCTTGTAGTTCCATCCTTCAATGTGGGATAATTTTTCTTGAGTTCAAAGAACTTCCTTTAATATTTGTTGTGAAGTGAGTCTACTGGGGATTAATGCCTTCAGTTTTTGTTTATCTGAAAATACCTTTAATTCATTTTTTTAAAAAAGGATATTTTCTCTACATACAGAATTCTAGGTTGGCAGTATTTTTTTCTTTCAGTATTTTAAAGATGTTTTCCAATGTTAACCTGGTTACACAGAGAAGCCATGGAAACCAAGTAACAGTAGAGTATCTTTAAAGGCTGAAAGAAAAATATCTCTATGTAGTCACCAGATTTATTGGTACTTCTTTGTAAATACTTTCTTTTTTTCTTTCAACTCTAGATTTTTTTTCCTATCATTTTTGGTTTTGATGTATCTAGGCATTTTTTTGTTTTTTGCTTATTTATTTTCCTCAGGGTTCTCAGAGCTTCTCTAATCTGTAGACAGTGTCACATTGTTTTCAACAGTTTTAGAAAACTCTCAGCCATTAGCTCCTCAAGTTGCTCCTGTGCCATTCTCTTTTCCTCTTGAACTTCAATTATAGGTATGCTAGATCATATGATTGTGTCTCAAATCTTTTTTACTTTATTTTTCTTTCTATGCTTCTTTAAATTGGATATATTTTACTGCCCTGTGCTTGAGTTCACTAATTCTGTCTTTTTCTATGTCTGGTCTCCATGAATTTTTAATTACTGATAACTTTATTTTTGTAGTTCTAAAATGTCCATTTGATTCTACTGTATAGATTCCAATTCATTTTATC